CAGCAGCATATGGGATGCCATACACAAGCCCGTTGCCAGCCAGCACCCCATCGACCCACTGGTTGATGCCGTCAAAACCGGTCAGAGTGGTTGTGTCGATGTCGTTGGTGGTTGGATCGAAGATGAGCACACCTGGTGGCGAGCTGTAGGGGATGCCGATAATGTTGCCGTTGGGCGCAAGCACACCGCCAACCCACTTTGAGGATGAGCTTGCAGCAGCGGCCACAAGCGTGTCTGTCGCGTTCGTTGCTGGGTCAATGATGAGCATCGACACCCCAATCGACGGGATGCCGTAGATCAGCCCGTTCCTTGCAAGCGCACCACCGTACCACTGATAGGGGGTGGTCTCCAGCCCTTGAATCGTGGTCTGGTCCATGGTGAGGGACATGGGGTTGATGATCAGGACCGAGTTAGCGGAGACAGGAATGCAGTAGATGAGGCCGTTGGGCGCTTGGATGCCGCCATACCACTGGGCACTTCCGCTGAACCCAGACAGTGTGGTCATATCCGTGCCATTCGTGGCGGGATCGATGATCAGCACGGACGACGCAAAGTGGGGGACACCGAAGATGAGGCCGTTGTCAGCAGCCACACCACTAAACCATTTGAAACTGCCAGGGCCGGGTGAGGTGATGCTGCTGGTGTCAGCAGCGTTGGTGTTCGGGTCCACTATGAGCATGGTCGTCGCAGATGCTGCAAACATGTAGATGAGACCGGTGTGCGCCACGACGGCGCCCGCCCACTTACCCGAGTCTATTCCAAGTCCGGAAATGGTAGTCGTGTCGACCGTGTTGTTGCTGGGGTCGATGATGAGGACGGACGGCGAGTTGAAAGGAGCAGCGTAGATCAGGCCGTTGTCAGCAACCACACCGCCAAGCCACTTATAGCCAAACGGACCAAGTTGTACAAGCTGCCCAAACGTGGATGTCCTTGCGGGACACACCTGAGCTCGGAGGGCCTCTATCTTCTCCTGCTGCGCATTAAGCGTCTGCTCTTGCGCGTCCATCATTCGCTGCTGCGTGTGCGCCGTCGCCTTGTACTCCTCCAGCATGCTGTGCTGCGCTGCGACTGTCTCAAACATATCAGCCACATTCATCCCGTTCACCAAGACAGGCTCGCGCACGGGATCGCTCGTGTTGATATGGATGCTTCCTGCATCATCTTCCTTGATGACCGCCTCGCCGCGGACATCTGCCATCAACGCCCAGCTCCACGCGACAAGGAGGAGAGCCAGAGCGAGACGCATCATCATTTGCATCAGGGTTGTAGTGGCCACAAACAACACAACTCGCCGCAATCGATTTGAACACCACCGTTGGATTGTTCGTCTTTTCCACCACTGCGTCCCACCCCCTCACCCCCGTTCACCTGTCTTCACTCTTAGACTCTTGTCGTCTGTCCTCGCCCAGTGATCCGGACTGCCCCGTGCACAGGCACCGACGGCTTGCCTAGATGAACAATGACGCCTAGTTCTCCCCTCTACGAGCAGGCATAACAAACACGGCATGCTGGGAACAATACCCTAAGGTCACAGCATGGTCATCCACTCCACTCCACACACACACACACACACACACACACACACACACACACACACACACACACACACACACACACACATGCTTGCTTTCATTTCTCTTGTCACACATCGTGTCCCAGCGTGGCCTGATCCCACTCATCTTCCCCTTCCTCGCCCTCCTCATCTCCCTCCCTCATACCCCCTCAGATCTCTGCATCCCACCAAGCCAAGTCCAAAAGAAAGATGGAGCAGCAAGCCATGAGCCAGCCACGCACAACGCCACCCAAGCCACTGACCACGACACCAGAGGACCCCGTGTGGTTTGTGTTTGGCGGTCTCGGCAGCGAGTGGTCCGATGCGGGAAGGCAGCTGCTGCAGCTCCCGCGGTTCGCTCGCATTGTCGACAACTTCCAGCAGGCATATAAGGACGTGTGCCCACGCCGTGCGCAGCTCAATCCTTTCCCACAGCTCCTCACTGCAGAGCACATCCGCACGGCAAGCAGCGACGATGCACAAACACGCACCCCTGCTATGGAGCACGACACCACCACCCGCGACGCCACTAGCAGCAAGGCCTCCGACCTCGAAGCTGCAAAGCCAGGCGACACAACATCTGATGCTCCGCCTCCTCAGAACAACCCCAACACCATCGTCAACAGCAGCAGATGGTCGTCTCTGACGTGGCCGGCCGAGGACGATGAGGACGTGGTGTCGCAGCGCGAGGCCCTGCTTGACATGCTGCTGCGTGTTGTTGGCATGGAGGTGTGCATGGTCGACTACCTGGGCGAGCTCGGCGTGCACCCGGCCGGCGCCATCGGCCACGGTGTTGGCGACGTTGCGTGCGCATATGCCCTGCAGCGCATGAGCCACCACGTTGTCGTGCACGCCCTCATCGGTCTGGCGTACTGCGCACCCATGGACACCACAAAGGCGGTGGTGCTTGTGAGTGCATCACCACGGCACGTGATGTACCACTGGTCCCGTGAGTTTGAGGTGGTGGCGGACAACTCGCCCTTCTCGTGTTCCCTGCTGGTTGACCGCGACCGCGTGAGCAGCCTGCGCTCGGCCATGGATGCCGCCGCCATCGACACACGGACCGTCGACACGTGCGGCAGCACCATGCACGTGCCAGAGCACGCACGCGACGTGGAGCAGCGTGCAAAGGCGTTTCTGGACGACCCGGCACACGAAGCGTTGGCCCGCTGGTGTCAGCGGCGCCACTCCCGCTGGCTGTGCGTGTCACGCAGCACGGAGGAGCACTACAAGATGACGTGCACGTTCAACGACATCCTGCTCAGCATGCTGCGGAAGGTGGAGTTCTACGGTGCTGCAAGCGTCATCCCTCCGGAAGCAACCGCGCTTGACATATCGGCAAGCGGCATGCTCACTGCGCTGACACGCGAGTCGCGGTGTCGCCTCTTCGTGCCGCCCCCACAACCGCCGTATGTGCCACCGCCGCCAATCCGCGAGCGCTCCTCCCGTGCCAGCATCGCCAGCAGCAGCAGCAGTGGCAGCCGTGGCAGTGGCATGGGTGGTGCGAGTGGCGGCAATTGCAGTGACGCGAGCAATCGCAGTGATGCGAGCAATGGTAACGGCGGTGGTAGTGGAGGAAGTGGAGGTGGTGGCAACGTGCATCGGCGCCGTCGCAGCCGAAGACAGCCAAGCATGGTGTTTGCACCAGGCGCATTCAGGGACGTGGTGGTGCCGGTGCAAGTGCGAGAGGAAGGCACCGCACAGCAGCAGACGGGCGAAGAACGTGGGGCCAAGTTGGGGGTGGGGGCACAGGAGCAAGTGCAGGACGATGGGGTGAGAGCAGAGGGGCAAGAGGAGAACGAAGGAAAGCAGCAGCCGCAAACAACGCGCAACTCAAGGACGTCAGCAACGGGAATGACAACGGCGGCTGTGGTGGCAGGAGAGACGGTGACGCGGGCGAGCAGCGTGGCGCCTCTTGCAGCCCCGTTGGATGAAAATGCGTCCGAGCGAATGCGGGCGGAGCGTGAGAAGCGGTGGCGAGCAATGGCAGCGGCACCACACCTCTTTGTCGAGTTCCAGGAGCTTGGGCCCACGCTACAGGTGATGGCACGCGATGAACCTGGCCTGCATCGGCTCAAGGCCGCGTTGGATGCAGTGCACGCACACGACGAAGCGCTCACTCGCGTGCTGTCGCAGCAGCAGGAGCAAGGGAAAGAGAAGCAGCAAGAGCAAGGGGAAGAGAAGCAGGGGGAGGAAGAAGAAGAACACAGTGACGCGAAGGGGAAGGAGGGGGAGGAAGAAGAAGAACACAGTGACGCGAAGGGGAAGGAGGGGGAGGAGGGATTGGACAGAGAGCAACTGCGCGAGCCAATGCAGCGTGTGGGAAGTGAGGTGCAAGGTGCAGCCGATGTGATGCCCGGTGCTCATGTTGCTGGAGATGGTGAATGATGCTGTGTGTGCGTGTGTTGGCTGCGATGTTGTCACAGCAGTGGCGTTGTCATTGGCGCGCTTCATGCCCTCCTTGACCGTGTACTGCTCAGTGCTTTGCTGTGTGATCATCACCATTAAAATTATTGCAATCATCACCATCACCATCACCGTCACCATTCTCATTGTCGCCACATTCATTCATCTTAAGCATTAGTTTACTATCAGTGAACCAAGGGTCAACAGCACAGCACACGCAGCAGCTGCCCGCTTGGAGCACGTGCGCAGTGACTGTATCATCATGAGTAACGCGTGGGAAAAGAAAGCGAGAAACAGGCGCGGTGGGACATGAAGCTGCAAAAACAAGATTGGAGGCACACGGGATCAAAAGGGGAAAGTGATGGTGGACAGACCAGACGGGCGTGGGTTGTCCGATGCGATGAGCAGATTCAACCACGCTCCCGCTGCAGAAGAATCGAGAGACACGATGGTCCGTGCAGTGCGCATGCGGTGTGCATGCAGCGCATCCGCAGCTTAGCACAGCGTGTTAACGAAACGGAACCTCAAAATGAAACAGCCGGCATGCAATCGTGCACACGCACACACACAGACACACACCTACACACGACTTTTACACACACAATCACACACAATCACACACAATCACACACAAACACACATACACACACAATCACACACACACACACACACAATCACACACACACACACACACACACACACACACACACACACACACACCACATTCACATAGCACCCCTGCGGACGTTCTCGCCCGGTCTGCGCGCGAGCCAGACGCAGCTGAGGAGGACGGCCGCGTGGGTGAAGAACAGGAGCCACGACCCGCTGCTCACCTGCAGTGCACCGCGGTAATACGCACGTGCGTCAAATAGTGTGTGTGAATGTGTGTGAATGTGTGTGTGTGAATACAAGGGAGGTGAAGAGAGGAACAGGAACGTACCTTTGTTTCATCCTCCACTAGCCATCCATACAAGTAACACACACATACACACACGCACACACACACACACACACACACCTGCATGACGGTGTTTGGCTTGAGGAACTTGTTCTTCACGTCCTCTTGCAGCTGGTCGACAATGTTGTAAAAGTTGTACAACAGCGGGATGCCATATGTGCCCGTGAGCACGGCTGCCAACCACACATACGTCCCATCTCCAGTCAGGTAGTTCATCTGAAAGCGGCGTGTGTGTGTGGGGGCGGGGCGGGGTAAAGATGATGGTCAGATGTGTTGAGCAAGATGGTGTTGCGTCGAACATGAGGGGAGGAGGGGGAAGCAAAGCAAGGAGCAGTACAAACCGTACAGCACGTATACGCATACATTCACACGTCCACGCGCGAACGTACAACACGTATACGCATACATTCACACGTCCACGCACACACGCACGCACACACCATGAAAATGATGGTGACGACGATGGAGATGTCTGCCATGCCGAAGATGGCGGTGCGGTATTGGTTTGGGCGAATGCCCGTGTACTTGCTCGCGTCCGCCGTCCACAGCAGAGTGCAGCCAAGTACGCAGAACACCAGCACGGCGAGGGTGAGGGTGGCGATGATGAGCAGGTCTCGCCGCGCGCGCTTGAGCCCTTGCTCGTTGCTGCGCGGGGCTGGCTGGTGGCGGTTGCCGCCGTCGTTGACCAGATGCAACCTGGGCCGGCGGGCTCGCTTCTTGGGCTCAAACGCAATGGCCGTGAGTGGCGGAGGACGTGTATGCTCGCGTGTGTATGTGTGTATGTGTATAAGCGTGTGTGTGCGTGTGCGTGTGTCTTTGAATGCGTGTGTGCTCAAATCCTAGCGTGATTGCTCTTCTCTTGCATCCCATCTCACTCACACACACACACACACACACACACACACACACACACACACACACACACACACACACACACACACACACACACACACACACACACACACACACACACACACACACACACACACACACACACACGCACAAATATGTGCAATGGTACCTGTATCCCCTCCCACAAATGCAGGGAGGACGTGACGCCGCTGCTTGAGCGCCAGCGGTACATACCGTCATACAACATCCCGTATTTCAAGGACATCTTCGCCATCTCCGGATATGGCCGTGCCGGGTTCAACTACACCACGGATCCACGGGCACAGATCTTTAGGCGCGATCACGGCAAGGTGCTGTTTGAGGGTCATTTTGTGTATATGTGTGTGTGTGTGTGTGTGTGTGTGTGTTGCCATTGGAGCAGTGCGTTTGTGCGTGTGCCTGTTTGTGCACTCCTGCGCCTCTGTCCGTTTTGCTGGGTGTGCGCCTGCGAGCTCGTTTGTCTTGCTGCATGACGCTTGATTGATTGCGCTCCTTTCCAATCCAACTTCCGCTTTCCCCTGCCGACACATTGGAGCATGCTTGCGCAACCCTTCTCCCCACCCCCATACACACACGCACACACACGCCTCTGTCTCCCATTCTCCAGTGTCTAACCACCGTGCCTGCATGCAACCACCCTCCCCCCACCCTTCTTGGGCCTCCACCTCAACCTGCAGGTGTACGACATTGACAGCATGTGCAAGCTGATGAACTCCAACAACTACAAGCGCGATCCCCTGTCAAAGGGCAATCCTTGCAACCAGATTTCAGCCCGCTGTGATCTCCCCGACGCATCACTGCCGCACCAGCAATCCAACGGGCCGTATGCGTTTGGTGGCATCGACAGCAAGAACGTCGATCACTCGCACGTGAATGCGCAGCGTGTGCGCGCAATCAGTGGCATGCCGTACGAGCACGTGCCTGCGTTTGTATTTGATGAGCAATGGAGTGGCGTTGCGCATCAGGGCATGCCACACATGTTCAAGTTCAACTGGACAACCATGGCGCCGGCGCCATAATGTACTGTTGGCGTGTGTGTGTGTGTGTGTGTGTGTGTGTGTGTGTGTGTGTGTGTGTGTGTGTGTGTGTGTGTGTGTGTGTGTGTGTGTGTGTGTGTATGTGGTGTGTGGTGTGTGGTGTGTGTCTGTGTCTGTGTTTGTGTTTGTGTTTGTGTGTGTGGCACGACACTGCCTGCAATGAACGCATTTCGCTTGTGTTATCCTGCTTTCTTTCTTTCATGACATCTCCTCGTTCTCCCACCACCACGCCTCTCGTATTGCTGTTCTGCGTGGTGGAACCGTGTACTGTCAAGAGAATGGTTCAAATTCAAACCACCATCAACAACTACAGCAACCACGGTAGCAACAACATGAACGGCCACAACGGGCGCTGCTTCGTGCTGGAAGAGAAACAAAACGTATCGTGACATGCATCCAGTGTAACAGGAACAGCAGACACGGAAATGGGGAATGATCTGAAGATAACAAACACGTGTTCAAATGAACCTCACAACAGCAGCAGTAAACGCACAACCACCAAGCAAACATATGCACAGACAGGCAAACCACAACAGCACAAACACTCTGCTCACAGCCACCACCATCACATCATGCCATGGCATCGTCCCCTTCCTCCACGGTTGTGCTCAGCGTGCGGCCCTGCCGTGGTGCTCTGCTCACGCGGTTGCTGTTCAAGCGTGCCCGCTGCACGTTGCGAGCGCGAGATGCCATCGTGGAGTGCCGTGGTGGCACAGCCGGTGGGGCCACGCGATCAACACGCGCAAGCAGCTGGAACGTCTGTGAGCGCGCGCGCATCGCTGCCTGGTGGTGCTTGGCCATACCACTCACGTCCGTCGCCGCATGTGCGCCTGACGCTCGTCGTGGCGCTGGTGGTGGTGCCGCTGCTGGCTGCATTCCTACCACAGGCTGCATGTACGCGCTGTCGGTTGCGTGTGTGTCCACGTCCTGTGCCACGCTCACAGCGCTCGTGGTGCTGCGTGTGCTGCCGCCACCAACACCGCCACTGCTGCTGCTGCTGGCCTGTCTGTATGTGAGCACGGCATAGTCAATCTCCGCTGAGCTGACCACGGCTTGCTCGAGCATGCTACGCACGAGTGCACTCGTTGGCCGCTGCTGCGGTTTCTTGCTCCAGCACTGCTGCATGACCGAGTACAGCGACCCGTGTGTCAGCTCCGTCTGTGGCAGCCGGTAGCCCCGCAACACGCGCAGGTGCGCCTCTGCGTTTGGTGTCTTTCCGTACGGCTTCTTGCCGTAGGTGCTCAGCTCCCACAGAAACACGCCCAACGACCTGCAAGGAGGAAGAGGGGACAGGGGGGGGGGTTAGAAATAGTGTTAGTGGAGGTGGAGGGGAATTCATGTGGAGTGAAGGCAATACACACGCACACACACGCACACACACACGCACACACACGCACACACACACACACACGCACACACACACACACACACACGCACATACACACACACACGCACACACACACGCACGCACACACACACACACACACACTCACACACACGTGTACGCACCAGATGTCGCCGGCAGGGGTGTAGACGCCGTCTGTGTTTGCTTCGGGCGCCTGCCACTTGATGGGTGTTTTCTCCTCTGTTTTCTTGCGGTAGTAGTTGTCGTCGCCAAGCGCACGGCTCAGACCAAAGTCCGCTGGCACGTGGAGAAAAAAAAAGGAGAGGGGGGGGGGCAGAAGGGAAGAGTGACCATGGAGGTGGAATGTGTTAGGACAGAGCAACGACGAGGAATGTGTTGGAGGAGTGTTGGGAGGCACAGTGCCAGACGCAGCAAGCTAGCAAGCTCACACTCATGCGCACACACAACACAACACAACACAACACAACACAACACAACACAACACAACACAACACAACACAACACAACACAACACAACACAACACAACACAACACAACACAACACAACACAACACAACACAACACAACACAACACAACACAACACAACACAACACAACACAACACAACGCACCGAGCTTGACGAGGGCAAGGCTGTGGCCGACGAGAACGTTTCTGGCAGCGAGATCACGATGGACAATGCGATGCTCATGCAGATACGCAAGGGCTGATGCAATCTGCACGCCGACACGGCGCACCTGTACGCAATCACGTCAACACAACACAACCCAACAAATGCCACACGTGTGTGAGCGAGGCAAATTCAACCGCGAAACAACACAACAAGTGCACGTCAGCACGAGATCAGCAGCACCAACCATCCCTCCACAACCGCCACCGCCACCACCATGCACCATCCACCGCTACCCACCTTGTCCTGGGAGAGGCGTTCCGGTCCGTTCTTCTCGCGGCAGCGGCGCAGGTAATCACGACAGCTTCCATTCTCCAGGAACTCAAGCACGAGCAAGTACGGCAGCTGGGTGTGGCACACGCCAAGCATGGCAACAAGGTGCTTGTGCCGCAGTGACACCATCAATCGCGCCTCCAGCAGAAACTTGGCCTGCTCCTCCACTTCAGCGGACGCCAGGACCGACTTGACCGCAACCACAACCGAGTCCTTGTCCCGCAGCAGGCGCTGCAGTGGGGGCGGCAGGTTGGCATCGCCGCCATTCGCAGTTGCATCGGCCGCGGCAATGACGCCCCTGTGAACCTCGCCAAAGGCACCCTGCCCAAGCTTCTTGTCGCACACAACAAGTTCCGGGCGAATCGAGTAGGCAGAGAGCGCCTCCAGCGAGCCGCCGTCCGTGTGCGTCTGCGCAAACTCCGAATAGACCATCATAAACATGGACTGCATCTGCTGCTGGATGCGCCGCAGTGACGTGGATGTGCGAACGGAGGACGAGAGCGTGGAGCGGCCTGGGCGCCGGCGAAGCATCACACTGCCACCGCCACCGCCAGTCGCGGACTTGAGGGTGCCTGTCTTGGAGCCTGGGGCACTCTGGTTCGTGCGCATTGTGTCACGTGCCGAGGACGCAGCGGAGAGCATGGTGGCCGTCGTGTGGCGGCTGAAGGCGCTGCTGGCCGAGCGCACGCTCGCGTTGGAGGAGATGGAGGGGACAGAGAGTGGCATGGAGTGCCACGAGTCGTGAATTGGGCGCTCCATGCCGCTGCTGTCCTCCATGGGCAGTTCGGACCGCCGTTCCAGCTGCAGCGACGCGTGGAATCCCTCCAGAGGCGTGTCCGTGGTCGTCATGGCAATCTCGTCCACACCAGCAACCAGCCCGCTGACGGTGAGCGCGTTCCACGCGGCCACGTGCGCGGCCTTCTCGCTCCGCTCAATGTCCTTTGTGGAGAAGTGGAACGAAAACGCCTCCTGCGCGAGCGTGACGGCATCGTGGGCCGCTCGTGCCACGTCCTCGGGCCAGTTCAACCCGCTGTCCTCAACTGCACCAGCACCAGCACCAGTGCCGCCTGTGGCACCGACACCACCGCCCGTGTCGTGCTTGATGTGCTCGCGGAACCAGCGCCGGAGAATGGCCAGGGCATACCGGTAGAAGATCTTGCGACCCTTGACCAGGAAGTTGTCGACAAAGAGGAGAAGCGACTGGCGAGGCAGGCAGTCTGCAAACCACGTGAGCACGGCGCCGCGCAGTGGGTGGCCGCGCAAATCATCGCCCTCTCTGAAGTCGGCAGCAGCAAGCAGTGCGTTGCGCGCTTCAGGGAGGTGGCGGCTGGCAAGGTCGTCGAAGGTGCACAACATGAGCCACGTGTCCTTGCGTGAGCGAATGAGCGCGGGCTCGCGGTTGAGGAGGGCGGAGCCCATCATGAAGACTTCATCCTCCTCCATGCACGTTACGCTGCACGCAACAATCATCGGCAGCCACGGGCAGTACTGGGTGTCTATCGTTCGTGGTGTTGGTGTTGGTGGTGGTGGTGGTGGTGTTGGTGGTGGTGGTGGTGGTGGGGTTGGTGGTGTTGGTGGTGTTGGTGGTGTTGGTGGTGGTGGTATTGGTGCGTTGAGTGAGCTTTTTCGTTTTGGGAGGGGGGCTGTGATGAGTTGGGTGTGCAAGGAAGGCGGGAAGGAGGCGTTGACACACATGTTGAGTTCGGTGAGACAAAACAAAGCCTGCACTTGCGTGAATGTACGCAGCAACATCACACCACCACCACCACCACCGTCAACTCACCATTGTACTCCTGGGCAAGGCAGCACAGCACGCGGCCTGCGGACACTTGCTGCTTGTGGTCCAGCCCAATGCGCCGGAAGTCAAAGAAGTGGCCGAAGAACGAGCGCGTCAGCTCAAGCATGGACGGCGTCGATTGCCCTGCGTGTGTGTGTGTGTGTGTGTGTGTGTGTGTGTGTGTGTGTGTGTGTGTGTGTGTGTGTGTGTGCGTGTGTGTGTGTGTGTGTGTGTGTGTGTGTGTGTGTGTGTGTGTGTGTGTGTGTGTGTGTGTGTGTGTGTGTGTAAGAATTGGACAAGTCAATCAAGGGCAAATGCAAAGCAAAATCCATCAATCACACCATTCACCAAAAGCAAGGCCCGTTTCAACGCCTATCAACACACCAAAGCGGCGTTCGTGCGCGTTCTCGTACAGACGGCTGTCCTCTTCCTTGAGCGTAAATCCGCCCGTCAGGCGCAGCCAGATGTCGCCTGTGTTCATGGGTGTGTGTGTGGGGGGGGGGTATGATGCATGAGACACCATGTTGTTGTAGAGACGTGACAAGGAATCACAAACAAACATTGACCATCTTTGTGTGAAGCGAAAGCGTCAAACAACTTCACACACACACACACACACACACACACACACACACACACACACACACACACACACACACACACACACACACACACACACACACACACACACACACGCACACACACACACACACACTACGCACCGCGAAGTGAGGGTGGGAGGCCGCTCTTGGTGAGCTTGACTGCTTGCTTGTGCTGCGCTGGGGTGAGTGACGCGAGCGCTGGTCCAGGGTGGGACGCATTCGTCACGTGCCTTTGGAATGACGACGAGGGGTGTAGATTGGTGGATTTGGGGAGAGTAATGTGAGGCGGTGGGATGTTGAAACACGAGCAGCATCAACGTGCAAATACGCACAGACACAGACACACACACACATAGACACACACAACCACACACACACACACAAGCACACACAAGCACACACAAGCGCGCGCACACAAGCACACACACAAGCACACATAAAACAAACAAAGGCGTGTGCGCACTTTGTCCAGAAGTCGAGTGCAGCGCGGCTGACGTGCAGTTGATCCTCAGCACTGCCGCTGCTGCCGCCAGCCGTGTCTGAGCCACTCTCCTTTCCTCCACCAGCACCACCACCAGATGTTCCAGTCGCTGTCGCAGTGGAAGAAGCGCCCGCAATGCCGCTTGCTGATGTGTCTGTCGATGACTGCGCGCTCGAGTCGCCAGACTGCCGCGAAAGTTTGAACGAAAAGCGCGTCTTCGCCCACTGCATGCCGCGCTGAAGACTATTCATGGACGCATCTGTGTCACTGGAGAGCTCCAAATGGTGGTCCTCCATGGAGCCCGTGTGCGCCTTCTCCGGCTGGCAGTCCACAAGACTCAGCTTGAGCAGCTGCGGCGTGCTGATCTCAATCACAGCAAGTGATGTGCACCCGTCCAGGACTGGGAAGCGTGCAGGGGAAGGCAGTGCGGAGGAGTGGGGGCGGGGGAAGGGTGCGAGTGAGTGGAAAAGCAGTTGCGAGACTGTGTATGTGGGTGGGTAGGTGTGTGCGGAGGGCAAACACGCACGTCTACCACTAAACATCACGAGTACTCACTCAGCTGTCGCAAAACCGGCGCAGAGAAGTTGATGCTGAGAAGGACAGCAGAGCACAGCAAGGCAAAGGTGAGGGCTGCGTCCGCGAGACACGCACGCACGCAAACACACACACACACACACACACACACACAAACAAACAAACAAACAAACAAACAAACAAACAAACAAACAAACAAACAAACAAACAAACAGCATACGCATACACGCACAAGGTAAGGTTGCTGCAGTCGGAGAGGTTGAGGATCTTAAGCGAAGGAAACGTGTTTGGCCGCCGCCGCACCACAAATTGGGTGGTGCACAGGTTGGTGAGGGTGAGGTGGGCAAGCCGCGGGCACTGGGTCGCGAGCAGCGCCGTTACGCGCGCAGAGACCTGCAGGTGCTGGTTGCCAGACAGGTCGACCGTCGTCACATGGCGAAGGTTGAGCTTGGACAGAACAAACTGATCACGAAGCGCGAGCGAGTTGCGAATGCACACGTTCTGCAGCACCAGCCCGCCCACCACTGCCAGCACGGCCTCCTGGGCCTTCTCGCTCAGCACGGAGAAGTCGAGGTTCTCAATCCAGCGTTCCTGTTCCACGGCCGACAGCAGTCTCCCCAGGGCATCAGGGTCACTCTCCAGCCCCTGCAGTGTGCGCTGCAGCTGGTCGCGGCGCATGCGTTGGTCGAGGGCGTGCTCAACGTGGTGTCTGCTCGTCTCGGGGCAGTCGTCCAGGCCAGGCAGCGTCAGCTGAGGCACAAACTTGATGTCTGTCACCCCATACGCAAGGATAAAGTCGTCTGTGCTAATGTTCGTGCGCAGCGTGTGGTCCGCCTTCTCGAAGAAGAGTGGCTTGTCCACGGCGAGGAAGCGTTCATATGGCGTGGTGAACGCCAGCCCCGTTCCCGCGCTGCCTGCGCCAACATCCGCAGGTCCACCCAAAGGTCCACTGCCACCGGACGCGACTGCCACCGCTGACGATACAGACGGGGTGGGCCCGTGCCCGCTGGTGGAGGCAGAGGCGGCACCAAGCAGCACGCGCGCGTAGCGGTCGGCCTGTGTTGGCTCGAGCACGCGAAGGACGTCGAGGTGGGTGGCGTTGGGGCTGGTGGACAGGATGCGCTGCATACGCTGGAGTTTGTCCAGGATCTGCACAGGCAGCATCTTGCCCATGGGGACGCCAATCACGGTTGGCTCGTCGCCCTTGAGCAGATGTGCCGCCTCCTCCGGCGAGAAGAGCGCGCGGTGCGATGTGTTGACAAGGACGGCCTTTGCAAGCCACTTGCGCACGAGCACGGTAACGTCGAGCGAGAGCACGTGGTCGCGGACTTCCGGATCCACCGGCCGCAACATCTGGTCCAGGCAAAACAAAACGCACTTAGGACGCAGGTATGGGGCGGCCTTGCGTGCAGCGCGCGTTGTTGGGGTCACGGAGGGCTCCACCAGCTGCTCCGTACTTGAAGTCGGACAGAAGCAGCGCTCGTTGTCGACGGCGACGATGCGGTACTTTCCATCCTCAATTGGCTCCACGACGTAATCCGATGGCTTGCCATCCTCGGGGGACACTGGTCGACGGGGGAAGAGTGGGGTGAAGGTGTGTGAGTGTGGTGCTGGAGGAGGACAAACACGAGTTGAGGTGTGGAGTCTGTGTCGCAGACACACACACACACACACACACAATTATACTAACGCACACACACACACAATTATACCAACGCACGCACACACAATTACACCAACGTACGCACACACACACACACACACACACACACACACATACACACAATTACGCACACACGCACGCACAACCACCCCGAAGCAAACGCATGCCACCACACCAATCATTGCGTTGAGAAGGGCCATGGAGACGTATTGAAAGTCGAGGTATGCGAGCATCTTTGGCGATTTTTCCATCACGTGCCGGAGCGTAACGCCGGCCACGCCCGAGCTGGCCAGAATGGGAAGACTGTTTTGCACGCGAAGCAGTTCAACATATGGCGCAATCCAATCGCCAAAGAGCGCGCGGCTGAGGTGGCCAGCAACAAACTCAATGCCCGGAAATTCGGGCCGCAGCTTGAAGGAGATCCAGTGCTCCCCGCACTCGATGGCGCCAACACTGCGGCGGCCAGCGAGACGTGGCACGCGCGGGGTAAACGAGTCGTTCTTGAATAGCTGGCTGAAGAAGGGTTCGCGCATGCAGCGGTCAGAGACGGTTTCGCCGCGGATGGCGACGAGCGTCTCGCCCGGCATGGGCGGGAGGATCTGGCGCAGGGAGACGGTCCAGTTGAGCTGCCTGTTGCGCTCAATCAGCGCCTGCATGCCTGCAAGCAACGGCGCGTTGTCCTGTGCGTTCGTCTCCAGCAGCTTGAAGTAGAACTTGGACAGGCCGACGGTGCGGCTGCCACCGTGTGCGCCCAGGCCTATCAACTGCAGGAAAATTTCCGGGTGGTTCTCAGCGCAGATGTCAACAGGAGTCATACCACGCCTGTCCGGTCCGTCCACGTCAGCACCGACGCGCACCATAAAGTCAATTTGCTTCTGCACCAGGTCCAGGTCGCCCGAGAAGCAGCGGATCACCTGGCAGGTGGGGGGAGGGGAGTGGGGGTGGTGAGAGAAGGTGGAGTGAGGATTTCAATTGATAGCAGGAAGCTGTACGACAGCTGCAAGCTTGTGGAGGCATAAACACACAAACACACACATACAAACACGCACGCACACACACAGACACACGCAAACACACTCACTCACTCACACAACATACGAACACGGACACACACACACACAACACTCACACCACACAACATACGAACACACACACAACACGGGTCCAACCTGGTGCAAGGGCGTGGTGCCGCTGATGGAGATGTTGATGTAATCGCGAAAGAGCCAGATGGCGTGCGGGGTGATGCACATCTTGCTCGACGACACACCAAGCAGTGTGTGGAAGAAGGCGGGGTCGTTCCAGTAGGAGGGGAGAGATGCCCGGTCCAGCTCGGGAAACTCCGCAGACAGGTGCAGCACAAGCTCGAGCTTGCAGGCATCGCTGTAACGCGTCAGCGGATGGCCAGGCTCATCTGGTGATGGCGATGAAGGTGATGGTGGTGGTGGCGGCGGGGATGAGCAAGAATAGGAATCAGCGAGTGGATTGAGATCGCAAGCAAGCTTTGATACAAAGACACAAAGTTTAAAGCAGTCGCAACCATCCGCCATCCGCCCTTTCACCCCCTCCCATCCATGCTGACCAAGGCACGGCGCGTGCAGCAGTTCTTTGACAGCGTCGACGAGCTGGAAGCGCTGCCGCCGTTTGTTCGCCGTCGCCCGTGACGTCTTGCTGCTCGGGATCTTCGCCAGATGCGGGATGGGCTGCTCAAGCACGTTCCTGTATCGTGTGTTGGTGGTGGTGGTGGTGGCGGTGGTGGTGGTGGTGGATGAGCGAGTGGAGAGGGGCATGTGCGTGTTGCCGTTGTTGGTGTTGGTGTTGAGAGCAAGCAGGTGGCGCAAGTACGTCTTCCCACCAAGACTGCCGCCGCCGCCACCACCACCACCATGCGGTGCTGTAAGCACTGACTCGAGGTGGAGGAGGCGAGGCGTGCCGTCCACGTCGTCTGTCGTCGGGATCAACTTCGAGATGAAGTCGTTGCGCTGCGTGCGCGTGAACGTCTGCAGTGGTGGTGCATGACGGGTGATGGTGGTGCATGACGGGTGGTTCAGTTTGGCAGTGACGAGCGGCAGGAGTGGAGGTGAAAACCAGTGGACAAGGGTTGATGGTGGGGGTTGGTGGCGAAGGTAGTTGGAAGATTGGACCAGGCAGACCAGGCAGAGGCGAGCAACCGTCCCAGCGACACATGTGAGCGGTCCACCGCACCTTCTTTGCGTCGGATTTCGCGGCCACCCGGTGCTTCTCGTAGAATTGCGAGCACACGGGATACAGCCTGGGGTGGAATTGAGTGTATTTGAGTATGAGAGAGAGAGAGAGAGTGTGTGTGTGTGTGTGTGTGTGTGTGTGTGTGTGTGTGTGTGTGTGTGTGAGTTGCAAGTGAGCCGCAACAAAGACACGCACAAAAACCGCGCATGCAACGCGCATGCACATGCACACGCAAACGGACGTGCAACGCGACACGCAACACACAACAAAGCAAGCACGCGCTGTCGCATTCTCACCTCTGCAGCAGCTGGCCGATGGTGATGTCGCCGTTGGAGCGAATAATGTTGTGCATGCGTACAAACGTGCGGTGCACACGGATCATCACACCGGGCCGAATGCTTTGCGAAAACACATCCACGTCAAGCGGCAGCGCATCCTGCGAGGAGAGGTTGTCCACCTCATCTGGAACACAGACAAAGGTGTGTGTGTGTGTATGTTTGTGTGTGTATGTGTGTGTGTGAGTACGTGCGTGCGTGTGTGTGTGTGTGTGTTTGTGTGTGTGTGCGTGTGTGTGTGTGTGCGTGTAAGCGTATGGGCACGAATTGCATGTGAATATGTCTAGACTCTCCGCCCCAAGCACACGCAGCCAGGCCAGTCTCTCCGCTCAAACCACCACACGTCCCAGTCCTACCCTGCGCCATCTGCATGTCGCCGAGCCAGCGGAGGAGAACACACGCGGGCGCCACATGTGCAATGCGACGACGCAGCGCGTGGGGGATGGGGAGATTGAGCAGCCACTCGCAGCACCAGAGCGGAGACCGCCAGCCAAGCACAACCGTGTCGCCGCCAAGAAACTCGACGGGGTTGCGGAACAGCGACACGTTGTGGACGGCAAACACGCCCCCACCGCTGCTGTCGGCTGCTGTCGGTGGCGGCGGCGGTTGACTGCACACGGATATGCCGGAACCTGCTCGTGGGCGGTGGGAATTGGGCATGCGAGGAAGGGGGTGAGTAGTGTGGAATTCCACGCAAACAAGCTTAACACACATACACACATATACAACGGTGGTTGTCACGCACACACACACACAAACACAAACACACAAACACACAAATACACACACACACAAACACACAAACACACAAACACAAACACACGCACACACACACACACACACACCTGAAGCGTCATCGATGAGGAGGAGCATGGATGTGAGCGCGAGCTGGGCGGCGGCGGCATCTGTCACGTGCGGCGCAACGCTGCGGTCGTGGAGGAAGTCGAGCAGTGGGATGTCGTATGCTGGCGTCACGTTGAAGCAGATGGGGCCCTGCGCAGGAGGAGTGGTGGTAGTGGTGGTAGAGATGAGGTGGTGAGTGTTGACGTATTGCATTGGTGTGAACGCCCTTACAGAGACCCACGCACACACACACACACGCACACACACACACACGCAAACACACACACACACAAACACACACACACACGACAAACACACACACACAAACACACACACACACGCAAACACACACACACAACACACACACACACACGCAAACACACGCAAACACACGCAAACACACGCAAACACACGCAAATACACACACGCACACCTTTGGGGCGAAGACGGAGAGGAGGGTGGACGGCGCAATGAGCGACAGCGGTTCGTCATCACCACCACCACCGCCGCCACCAGCGTGCTGTGTGTTTGCTGCTGCCTCGCCAAAGAGCCGCGTGGCAAACCAGAACACGGCCTGCGTGTCAAATGACACCTCTGTGGTGGTCTGGCTGTCGATGGGGCTGAACGAGAGCCGCTGCAGCGTGGCCGCGTTCGTGATCTCCGACGTGCCGACTTGCATGTCATGCATCCTCGCAGTCGCACCGTCGACACCTGTGCCGGTGGCGGCTGTGTCTGCTGTGTCGCCCGCACGTGTCTGGCCGTCACCACTGCCATTGCCAAGCGCAGAGAGCGGCGAGGAAAACTCGTCCTCGTTGGCGACAAAGACGAGGCGCACAAACCGCAGGCCGTTGTAGTCCGTGCAGATGCGGTCCACGCGAACCTCCCTCGCATCGCGGCCACGCAGGTACTCCACGGCAGAGAGGGCGATGACTGGCGGGTCGACAGCGTGGAACTCGCACCCCTGGCCCGTGATGCGCAGTGCATCGAGCAGCCCGCACGCATCGTCACCATCGACACCACTGGCGGTGCTGGTGGCGTCGCGGGTGCCGCCTGCTGCCAGCGTGCCGTTTCGCGCGCTGCGAAGGAGCGCACCAATCTGGTCGTGCGCGTCGTGCAAGATGGACGGCAGGGAGACGGCGGGCCGCTCGTTGACGGCGCAGGACGTGTACACGAGCTTCTCCAGGTGCGTTGCCTTCGTGTACAGCTCTTGCCACGCGGGGTCGTTGGCGGAGTTGTCGTAGTCGTCGTGGCGGTCGCGCAGGAAGACGTCGTGTGCGGTGAGCTCATCGCCATCCACCAGCAGGAGGCGTTCGTTGCGCTCCAGCAGAGATGCGCGGAGCGGCATCGGGGGCGTGTTGAATGAAGACGGGCTGCTGTCAGTGCCCTCCGCCTGCTGTGCTGCGGTCACGGTTGTGTCCTTGGCAGCGTCGTTGTTGTCGGTGCTTGATGACCCGTACACCTGCATGCCTGGTGCCGGTTGCTGCGTGTTGTTGGTGTCGGCGAAGCCCGTGTCCACGGCATCCGCCCACGCGATCTGCTTCACGGGGGTGTTCTGCGGTATCTCCTGCGCCAGGAGGGCATCGCGGTTGTGGAAGAGCGGGAAGAGCTGATCCAACAGCTGCGCCACTTCCACACGGGCGCGCGAGAACTCATCAAACTGGGAGAAGTCGGGCGCGGGTGGATATGCGGTGGCACTCGCGTCGGTACTGGTTGCGGCGGCATCGGAGCCCGTGCTTGTTGCCGTTGCTGTGGAGGTGGATGGTGTGGTCGTTGGAAAGTGGTGAGATGCACCTGCAGCGTAGTCCTCGTTCTCTTCGTTGGAAAGCTCGGCAGCGAGGCGCAGGTACCGCAAGATGGCGTGTGCTGTCTCTTGCAAGGGATCGACGGCAGCGCCGAGGGCGGCCAAGGTGTGCCCGCGGTGCGCCACAACAGCGTCCAACGCCAGTACTCGCTGCTGCTGCTCATGCTGTTCCTGTTGCTGCTTTGAGGGCTTTGATCTGCGTGCAGTGACATCATCTTCCTGCAGGTGTGGCACCCACAGGGTTCCCTCTGTGAACTCCACTGCACTGCCTTCCTCCTCCATCGTGTTGGACAGGGGAGAGGGGGGAAGGGCAAGCAGAGATAGCAGAGAGGGTAAGTTGGGGAAGGGAAAGGTGTTGTCCGAAGCACAGCACAGTTGGCGCTCATGCAACAAACAACAACAAACACCCACTCAGCGCGGATAAAAGTGAGATGACAGCGGTTCGAGTCCGGATTGTGAAGTTGGTTTTTTTGTGTGTGGTGTGTGTGTGTGTGTGTGTGTGTGTGTGTGTGTGTGTGTGTGTGTGTGTGTGTGTGTGTGTGTGTGTGTGTGTGTGTGTGTGTGTGTGTGTGTCGTGTCGTGTGTCGTCGTGTGTCGTCGTGTGTCGTGTG